CGCTTATCACTCTTCCCTGACATCTGAATTGGAGTTATGCTTATATTCAAAAAATTGTATGGTGTATTGTTTGTTTTGTGCAAGTGATGTGGGAAAAAATGACCACGCCCATTTAGTGATTGCAATATGTACATAATAGAAACCACACCCCGAACTTGAGCTGTTGATCCCAATTTTTTATTTGATACATTGTAATATAAACCGCGGTTTATAATAGGATTTTAACGGTATTACCACCTTGTTTCCCAAACCTGTTGTTTTTGTATTGTAGTTACTGTATTTTTATGTGTGACACATAAAGCATGGCAAGCATAAACAGGGGTCAAAATCAGTGATAGTCCCAGACAGTCACTTCTGTTGGGCCAACCATTGAAATAAATAAAGAAATCACACTTATTAATTATTCCAATATATTATCTTTGCTTAAATTACTAGTTTTTAACAGTGACATTGTTTGAGACCACATTTTAAATGGACAAATATATTTTCAAAGTAGTTGTTCCACTGGACAACCGAATACTTGTTTTCGATTTCAACACGTGCAAAATATAGTTTGAGACATCTTGGTATTCGTACCAAGAGATACAAGTCTGAGGGACAGCTGCCAAGGGTGGGTAGAATAACAGTCTTACAAAAACACCCGTCCTCACCTCCACTCCAGTAACCCTAGCAACTAGGGAAGACAAAACTCATCTGGTGTATATACATTAATAAATAAAGTGTATTTCTATTCAGTCACATGTATATATTGGCATGTCCACACTTCGTGACCTGGTTTTAAAACGTCCAGCAGATGAACTTAATTATCTTATTGTACTATTGGATTTGACATTCCATGAAAAACCAGATGTTAGAAACCAAGCAGTACAGTTTACAAAGAGACTGTATGAAAGACCAAAACTAAGAGAAACAATAGAGGTAAGTTATTCTAATATCTTAACACATTAATTTTCATGTGTTATTACTCAGCCTAACGTCACTGTGTCAGTATTGTAGGCAATTAGTTGGCTTCAATAGACTTAACATGTAAGTTTTCATTAAATTGCCATAACAAATTTTACATATCGGCTTTGAATCCAATGGACAAAGTGAAGTATAACAACTGTTGATGGTGTAAACATTTTGTAAAGGTGTTCAGAGAACACATCATTTATAACTACATGTAATTTTCACATTTTCGAAATAACACACTTGATATGCATAACTTGGAAAGATGGATTACATTGTCTGCACACTTGAATACGGAGTTCAAAATACAGTCATTGTATCACACAGCCTATTTATTTTTTTGATGAATTCTATGAATATTAATTATCTAATTTGCATAATAGCTCATTTTTAGCCCAAATTAAATTGTAATATACTTAATGATTTCATCATCTAATTTGCATACTGAACTATTTGAAAAGATAGATTCAACTTGATCAAAACAATATTTGAACTTATTTCAGAAGGTGAATATGATCTGATGTCATGATTAAATAAACCATGCATACACACACATCTACCTTAATATTATATTACAGAGATAGTAAACAGTAACAACAATCCACATATCTTATCTTTGCAAACAGCTGTCTGACAAGTATGTTTAATTTCTAACAATAATTAAACAAAAATAATACTCCAAAAAGGGTTCAAAATGTTAACAGTGGTTGGCATGCATGTTGAATGGTCAAATGAAAACATTCTTTGACTTTTTCTGATTATGACATTTAGAATCAAG